GGGCTCGCCTTATATTTTTTTATTATCAAAAATTATATTTTTACTCACCAATTATAAGCTAGATTGCGAGCTTAATAGCCTGACTAGTTTGTGAGGCGAGTGGCTCGTCCCACTTAACACTCCCTACCTGGGGATGTACATAGGTGAAGAAGGAAAAGGTTTATGTGCGGTGAATGTTTCGCCCCACTTTAACACTCCTACTTGGGAGTGCCCAATAGGTGAAGATGAAATTTTTATTTTTATTCTTTTTCTTTTTCTATTGCTTTCTTGTACTTGTTTTATTTTTATTTTTAAATTTAAGGTCAAGAATGCCTTCTTACAACACTTGAAGAGAATGTTGTGATGGATTCTATCATATAGGATGACATTTGCAAATTAATGAAAGGTTGGGATAAGAGAAGGTATGAATGTGAATGAAGTTCTTAAAAACGGAAAGACGGGAGACCCATTGAAATTCTACCTTAAAAAAATTTACTCTTTAAAAATAAATAGTCTTTTGGAAGATGCTGCCAGTGTATAGAATTGGACTTGTGCACCATGTATGTGTGTGAGTGTGTATATTTTGGTTGGCGATTGGGATGAATGTCCATAGGGTCGACTCGTCTATATTTGACCCTGAATTTAGTTGGGACCTGTTCTAAGACTACCCATCTAGAGAACCATGCCATGTAGGGCTTGGAGTCCTCGACCCTGCTACCCTTATATGGTTAAAGGCATGACCTTAAAAAAATTTGGCTTGGGGCATAACTAAGCACCCAAGTGGGTGAAACCTCTTGTAACAATTCATTTTTAATTTTAGTGGAAATTGTACACAGCCCTAACTTCTAATTTATCATTTTAAATATCAATTTTTTTTTTGTTTACTCTTTCAAAAATCAAGTAGACCCTATCACCTAACTCGCCCCACTCCCTAACCCCAGTCCATTTCTTATCCATACAAAATAGCCACAAGCTCCAGCTCATTTCCTAGATCCGGCTATCCAAACAAAAAAGTCATAGACCTCGGCCTCTTTTCTACTCAAGTTTAGCCCTTTTCGGCGTCGATCATTTCTCTAGCTCATGTGCAGCGCTACGCATAGCAACGCTAATCACTACTGCACGTAAAAGTAGTACCGAAGTTTTTCGGGGTGTTTTTGTTGGTGGTTTGCAAATTGTGATGGTTATTTGCAGTTTGCAAATGGTGGTGGTTGATGCGATGGTGGTAATGGTGGTGGTTGCTGGTGGTGCTGGTGCTGGTGCTGGTGATGAAGTGACACGACGTTTGATTGGTGTTGATTGTGATGGAGTGGTGTGGAATAAAGAACGTTTGTGATCAATTATTTTAGGAAAACATGCCTTGTATGCTTAGAGGTCATCCCTCAGATTGGTGCTGCAATGCTTCGCCTCGCCTAACCTTTTCCATGGAGTTTCGGCCTCTACATGGGGATTCCTTGGAACACATCATTTCAACTACTAAAAAACCCTCACCATGTTCATGAGGGTTCAACCTCTATATGGGGGTTCAATTAGGCAAAGTAAGTTAGTGATATGAAGTGTAAGTCATATTTTATTTTCTATTTGTTGGCCACGTGATCCGTATTTAGAGTCTCATATGATGAGATTTGACAAATGACAAAAACTCAATCAGTCACATTGTAGGGTTGGACTACCTAGGATTGGCAACGGTTCGGTTATAGGTCGATTCGGCCAAAACTAGGGCTGTAAGCAAAAATCGCAAAATCGGAAAACCAAACCGAAATCGCATTTTAGAAACCGTCGATTTGGTGCCACGTGGACCCGGTCAACGAAATGGTTTTGACCCAAACCAAACCGGTCAAAATGGTTTGGTTTAGGTTTGAGAATTTTAATTATGGTTTAAAACCAAACCGGACCAGCTAAAAATATATAAAAATAAAAAAATGAAAAAATGAAATTTTTTGAAAATTGATCCAAATATGTAAAATTCAATAGTTTTGTCATTTATGGGTATTTTTGTCAATTCCTAATTTTCTAATACAGATATATTATTATTATTATTATTATCTAATAATCCTAATATATATTTAATAATTTCAAGACTAACATAATCTATCAAAAGCCCTTTTCCTTTTCAAAATTTAGATGAACTCCAGTCGATACCCAACACAGTTTTGAGCCACCGGCACCACACACTTCTTTTTCAGATTTTTCACGCCTCTTCAAAGTTAAAGTTGTGTAATTGTTATGTTTAGATATTATAAACAATTGTTTTATTATTGTGGTTGGTTATTCTCTTTGTTTAATCAGTATTCGTTTTTCAGATATGATGATCACGAAGTCTTGTTGGACATCATTATGTTTTTTGGACCTTATATCTAGTTTTGTAGACTTGTATTGTAACGTTATTGTATTGTCATTAGCCTAAAAAAGGTGAACAAAAATGAAAAAAAAAATTATGTTTTAATTTATTGTGATTTCACTTTGATTTAGTTTATATTTAAATTTATAGTAGATATATTTAGCCCCTGTTTGATCCATATTTTCCATATCATCATAATGAGAAAATTGACTATTGGAGAGGAGGTTGGGTCCCACACATGAAATAGCAGGTCAACAAAGGCGGTTGGACTTCTGGAATAACGGTCTAAATTTTCATTTTTTTGTTTCAAAAATTTGGTTCAAATAGGGGCTTAGTTTGTTTTAAATTTATTACTAGTGAGATATAAATATATATTAAATTTAATGAATTAATGACATAAAAGTAGACGGGCAAAAAAATATATGGTGAAACCGGTGGTTTAAAACCGGACCAAACCGTTAGGTTTAGGTTTGAGTTTTTTTTCAAACCGTTCAAAATGGTTTGGTTTAGGTTTGGATTTTTCTCAAACCGTTTTAGACGGTTTGGTTTGAAAATATGTCAAAAATCGGTAAAATCGGACCACTTACACCCCTAGCCAAAACCATAGTCGCACCACCAATTTTTTGACTATACCAGAACCATGTAAATCGGCTCGGTTCGTGTTTCGGTTCGAAATGGTTCAGTTCGATTAACAACCAAGAAAATAAATTATTTTTTATATGTTCGTCCGTCAAATTGATATAAAACAATTTATGAAAAGTTAATGAAAACAAAAACACAATATTCCAAACAAAAATACAAACATTAACAAACAATATTCCAAACGAAAATACAAATATTATCAAACAATATTCCAAACGAAAATGCAAACATTATCCCAATTTCCAATTGAAAAAAAAATAACAATAGAAAAGGAAGTGTATAAATAACAAATATAAAACAATAAATCATATCATGAATATCAGTCCAAAGCCAATCTTGAGCACACAGTAAAGCTTCTAGAGTTTTCGGGTGAAGCTTATTTCTTTATGGACTCACAAATCTACCACTTGTACTAAACGCTGACTCGAATGCCACAATAGATATTGGAATGGCTAATAAATCTCTTGCAACCTTCTGTAAAGTCGGATATTTTATTGAATTTGCTTTCCACCATGTCAATGAATCAAAACCACCATCCTTGGCAATACTGGCTCGTCTAGAAAAACATTGAACTCTGTTTTTACATGATCAGTAGTAATAGAATAGCTAACAAATGTAACAAATTTCCGGAAGCAACGACGACTTGGACCGTGGAGGTAGTGGAGCCGTGCGTGAGTGTGTGGTTTGTAGAGAGTAGGTTTGCATTTATATACTATCATACTAATGCTATTATTATGGGCTAATGGTAAGTGGGCTAGCCGGCTGAGTCAAGTAGATGTAATGGGGGATTTTGTTTTGGGTTAGATAGAAAAGTAGTGTAAAGCCCAACAATTAATCCCTATTGTGTGTTTTTTTTGCTCTTCTTTTTTTAGCGGGTAATTGGTTCGATTTCGGTTCGACGGCGTAAATACTATACCCGCACCGCCACGAATCGGTTCATTAAAATCAAATACCATATCCACCCCATTGCACCATCGGTTCGATTTTTTTCGCTCCATTCGATTCGGTTAACAGCGATTTTCAATTTTGACGGTTCAAATTGTCATCCCTATAGCTACCTTGTTAAAGAATTAAAATCAAAATAGAGTAAGGACCGTAATTTTCGTTACACTTTTTGTGAAAACTCAAAAACCAAATCCAAAACAATAATAGGAAAAAGGACAAAGTTGTAAGATAAGCAAAATTATGGGGACCGCAGAGGAAAAAGCAAAATCAAATGGAGGATCCTATATATTTTGGGTACTGTTATTTTCATCCACATTTTTTATAAGTACATTCCATTCTAAGTTTATCTCTAATAAAATTTTAAAATTTTAAAAAAATACTATTTACATTCACGTCATATTTTAATCTTGTTCTTATTAAATCCATTCATTTAAATACTATATATCCACATGAATTTTATACATTCATCACACTTTAAATACATCTCTATCACTACAGATTCGCCCAATCCCTAAAACCATAAACTCTTTAACCAAATGAATGAAATAAGAACAAAGCCAAATTGATTTAACATTAAATTAACATGAAATAAATTCTTTGTCTATTGAAATTCTGAGTATTAGAATGCTTCAAATAACAAAGGCTAAAGGAATAAAGAAGAAGAAGAAAGTTCGATTAAACAAGTTGAATTTTACTAACTTTGAATGCTACAATATTCTTCTTTCTTGATTAAATGATGAAATTGCATTAGATTTCATTTTGCATTCTTTGAAATCCGAAATGATTTTCGGCACAGAAATCATATTTAGGGCCACTATCACCTATAATTATATTCATATATTTTTCTCTATCTATTAGGATCCTAGTTAAGTATAAATGAAAATAAAAATTAGTGGATCAATTATGTATTTTTATTTAATATCTATTTAAGTAAATTTACATGAGATTTAAAATATAACAAAATTTAATTTTTAAAAGTGGATGGGGAAGGAAATAGTGTTACCTATATTTCCGATTTCTTCGTTAACATCGTCAAGCAGCAAAGCTCTACGAAAAACCCTCCCATTCCTCTTCAGCTCCTCCACAACGGCCATAAAACTCTTCTTCACTTTCATATGGCTGCATGTAAGCTCTTCTCCATCAATCTATATATGTTCATAGGTACACAGTACACACACCTGTTTGTGCCTACAAATTTAAGCGTGTAAAATGATTTCTTTTCTGTTAAAAATATTATCTTTTGATGATTTATCATGTTTTATGAATGTTTCTGTAATAGGTTCTTTTTTATTGATTTCTTGTTTTATATAAATTATGCATTGCTGATAACTACATAGAAGTTAAAAAGCTGATTTTTGCTTCAGGTGGTATTGGGGCTTCAGGTCCTAAGATAACAAACTTGGATTCGGGTTACGTTAGACCCAAATTGAGCACATTGCAGCCTTTCCTTGATTTTAGGACTCCAAATCCGGTTCGATTTGATGGTCTGGTGCAGTCCCAGAGATCAAAGAAGGCATTAACTAGGTGGTGCAGTTTGACTTCCGATGCTGATTGTAAGTTTGTTTATATTGATTTTTCTCATTTGGCTAATGTGCATTTGCCTTTGTTTGTTTGGTTGCTTTTTGTGGTTTTGTTTGTGTTTTATAACTTTTACGGCGGCAGTCTTCTTTTTAGCATTAAAGAAAGTATTCTATGAAAAAATGATATTGAATGTGTGCAAAATGCACATGGATAGTTGGCCATTTACTTTATGCGTCACTCCTACTATGCTAAGGTTATCTGTCATGTTTCTGATAAGGTGGTTTTGTGGCACATCATAAAGGTCCACTAGAAGGAATCGGGTAAAGGTAACAGCATCTATTGATTGTTTCTTGTCTATTCGTTTTTATGCTCGTGATATATGAAGAAACATTGATGTGGTGATGGCCAACTAGATGCAGTGCAACTGACAAGAGAAGTGTTGAACTTACTAGTCTAAAAGTTATAAGCGTTAGAAATGGGACAATATTGTTCATCCAAAAGAGGGACATTTTTATGTACTGGCCACGTCTAAGAAACTCAATCTGAATGATGGAATTCTGGGCAAGCATATGAAGATGATACTTTATGCATATAATAAGCTTCAAGAGTATATGATGCACATTATAAGCCATGTTTATGTATTGAATATGGTTACTTTATTGCCAAAATCAAATGTCATCTCAGGAAATTGATTCTGAAAGAGATATTTCTCTTGATGAAATATGGGAGAAAGTTGGAAGTCAATGTTGACCTCTAATCTATATGTGTCTCCTTCTCATTCTCCACCCCATGCTTGCTTGTTAAAATGATAATTATGGTCACTACTGATCTTCTTGTTTCTACTACTTAATATTTGCTGTATCAGTCTTTTGAGTAATTTGGTTGTAATTTATATTGTGCGGTTCCCTTTGTAAATGTGATCATCCACTATTTTGGCTGGAAATATCTCGTTCGATATACTCTCTTTGTTTTTGGATGTGAAGTTGATTAAATGCTAATGTGCTTCGAAGAGGATTTTTATTGAACTAGTATGCCTGAAGAAAATCCTCCTCTCGCTACCTGAAAAAGGAAAGGGTCAAATAATAAAAGAAAAATAAAGGAGTGTGGTGCATTTTTTGTATATTTTGGGTGTAGTATTCTCCAATATATATCTTCTGACGACAACATAGCCACAATTTCAACAATTTTTCTTTTCCTAGTTTCTCAACTTTCACCTGTTTGTTTCAACTAGCAACGACTACTGTAAATACCGAGGATTTTTGTGAAGAAACCAAATCATCCGATGCAGTAAGCAAACTTATTCCAAAATCATCTGAGGTGAGTTGCTGTTATGTGCATGGCTATTAATTCTATACATCAGCAATTGTTAAGTATCTCAATTATTTGTTGAGTTTTCTTTTCTGTGGTCTGATTGCTTAAGAGAATCTGGAGCACTACCAAAAATTAATATAAATTTTATAGTATGACTCATGATTTTCTAGTTTCGAAGTGCTATTTTACTTGTATTGGAGAATGAGGAAAACCTTTACTAGAATTTTGAAAGGCAACAGTACAAACTTAATAAATTATTTAGCAACGTGCACTACTTAGCTGGTATTACCTAGTGCTAACACCATCAGCAATCTATATCCTCTTATCTGGAAAAAAGAAAGAAGTTTTCATATAAATTTGCATAGCTTTTTCTTTACCTTCTGTAGAAGGGTACCTGATAAAAGAAAGAGAAGCGAACCTGAAAAATTCATTCTACGTGAGATTAATTATGATTTTTATAAATATCCTGATTTATTATTTATTGTCTTTCTTTCTCCTGATTTTTTTGTTAGTAGCTTTTCTATATCCTATTATGTCTTTTTTCTTTTGTCTTGACAACTGCTTTTTCCAAGTTCTAGGAAAGCATTTCTTGCCTTTAAAGTCCTGTGCACAACAAATCTTTCTCTTGAACATGTCAATGCTATGAATATACTACAGGTTCTATAATCAAAAGACAGTCATCTTATTTGAATATCATTTTGCAGGTGGAATATCTTCTGACAGAATTATGTGATACAACATCTATTGCTAAGTTTGAACTTAAAGTGAGTGATTTTTTTCTTTCTTGCTCCAACCCTCGGTTGTAAAAAGGAAAAAGAAACAAGGATGGTTGTTCCATAATCTCAAAAAACATCATATCAACTTCACTAGGAAGTACTATCCTGCATCAAATGTTTTTTGAATTTAGCAGATTTGAAAGTTCCATATCCTTTTATGCCTCTTTCTATCTTTATTGATCCATTCTTTTTATATATTTCTTGCTTATACTTAGCTTGGGGGATTTCGATTACATGTGACAAGAGACTTATCTGAGCAAAGTGCACCTCCACAACCACCTGTTTCCGCTCCAGTTACTGCCCGTACGGTTGTTGAGACACCTGATTCATATGGTTCAGCCTCATCACAATCATTGGCCCTCTCCAAACCAGTACCTTCCTCAGGTGGAGTTCAGACATTGCTGGATAAAGCAACAGATGAAGGCCTGTTGATACTTCAATCTCCAAGGGTGAATCTCCTTTACTGAATGGAAACCTTTTCCAGGATGTTCAGGGCACTTATTTTATATCTGATGCAGGTTGGATATTTTAGGAGATCTCGAACCATTAAAGGGAAGCGGGCTCCTCCATCTTGCAAAGAGGTATCTGTTTCTCATGAGTTTGTTACTGCTTATCGGTCTGTATGTATGAATTTGAAGTAAGTTTTTATTCATTTAATCTCTTGGGATACCTGACATATAGTGGTGTGACTTTAAAATGCATCATTTTTTATTTTTCTTTTTATTCTTTAAAGAGGTGTGAAGGGCCCTTTTCCTGAGAAATCATTTTTATTTTCACATTTGTGATTATACCTTGTTCTCATTTCTGGTTAATCCCTCTTATTGGATTTAAAAACAATAATAATAAAAAATAAATATATGTGATTTTGGGCTTGTGCATGTTTTACTTTTATTGCATTATCAACAAAATGAAACATCTTCAAAGAATCGTGAAAAAATTGGCCTGTTGAGCTGTAAGGCAAGAACAAATTATGAAATGTGTTATTCTCTATGCTTCATCAAGTATATGTCAGATTCTGAGATGCTTGATAAGTTATATTTTGTTATTCTGGTATCCGTTTACTCTCTATCAACTTACCTTCAGTTTTCATTTCATGTCATTTATAACAACAATATTATATTTGCCAAAAATATAAATAGTAGATAATTTATAAAAGTTTGATTAGCATGGATGGGCAATGGGCATCTTGTTATGTCTTCACTCTCTCTTTCTTTCTCTCTCAACAAGAGCGATCATCTTTTTTTGTGTTTTTAAATATTTTATGAACCCATAATTAGTCTTACGGAAAGAGAAATATCATGTTGTTTTGCACTTGCAGCTTTGATTATTCTTATAGAGAGAAATATCATGTTGTTTTGCGCATATAGCTTTGGTTTAGTTGACAAAATGTTACAACTGTTGCATGGCTTGCCTGTTACTGTGACATTGCTTAGCTCTAAGTCATGGTTTATTTCTTCTGTTTACACGATTAATGTTACTGGTTAACAGAAAGACACAGTGAAGGAGGGCCAGGTGCTCTGCTACATTGAACAGCTAGGTGGTGAGATCCCGATTGAGGTTAGTGCCCGACTTTGATTAGCATTAGCGTATGGAAATAAATTTTACGTTTGGTGTAATTTATACCCTTTGATGTTTTCTCTTTTGATCACTAGAAGAGTCCCACTCAGGTGGAGCCAGAAACTTAAATTGGGGTTGGGGTTGGGGTTGGGTTTGGGGTAGGGTTAGGGTCACTCACATATATACGAGTTATCAGACACACTAAACACCATGTATATAATTATGTGCACATATTTCTAAAACTAACTTTTACATAAAACATTTTTAATACAGAATATAAAAGTTATAGAAATTTAACATTCTAAAGTAGTCATTATTCATTCGAACAGAGAGGAGGTAGTAGTTTAATTTTAATATTCACTAAAAGATATCTGATGGAATTAATTTTGGTCTTGGTTCAAAGAACAGTCAAATAAAAAGATTGAATCCTAAATTCTTCGGAGATTGTAAATGACTATGGGTCCACCTCAAGTGCAAATTGTCGGGTAAAAATGTATGTAAAACAATGTCTGGTGAACCTCCTTGCATTGGAATTCCAGAAACTTATCCACTTCTAAATCGAAGAACTTAGGAACACTTCGACATCATTTGTTTTAGGGGATCCTTCAATGGATACATTTATTTTCGATTTTATCTAACAAATTAGGAATATTAATTACAAATTTCGAATTCTCATGGGGCTCCTTTGACTCCATAACTACCAATATGGCTCTGTCTATACTAATTCACTTTCACGTCTAATGCCAAGAACAAGACTTAATTTTTTCATTCCCTTTGTGTTTTTCCAGTCGGACATATCTGGAGAGGTGGTTAAGATACTGCAACAAGATGGTGGTATGTATCCTTTTTTTGCCCCTTTAACTTTTGTTGACAATAGATTTCATGTTGGTCTCGACTTCTATGTTTAATCACTTCGATGGATCTTTAACTGGACAGATCCCGTTGGGTATGGTGATGCTCTTATAGCAGTGCTGCCTTCCTTTCCAGGAATAAAGAAGCTTCAGTAGATAGTTCTATGTAATTTCCTTTACTTCCCTTTTCCCTGTTTATTTATTTTCGCGGGGTGGGGAATCACATTGGTGGAGATCCAACTCCATCTTCATTGAGGATATGATTGGGTGTATCGAATAAATTTGTCTGCATTGACATGTGTATGGTGAAGATTCAAATCTCTGTGGTCTTGGGAATAATTTTATTTTTTTATTTTTTTTAGCACTGGATGTTGCTTTTACAAGTACCTTCTATTCCTGTAAAATCTGTTTGTATAAGATGTTGTGAATTACCACAGTGCCGCCTTCTTATATGTTTCTTTGCCATGGCATAGCATGATTTCATTGTGCTTTCTTTGTGAATATATAGGTAGGGTCGAGATGAAAAGCTCATGCAACTCTATTATTCAATTCTTTCAATCTAAAGGACTCGTTTGGCATGACTTTTGAAAAGTCGAAAGAAAGTTACTTTTGGATCAGTTTGATTAATTTTATGAAAGTGATTTTTCTACTTAGAAGGGTTCCTAGAGAAAGTCCAATATGGTTTTATCTAAAAGCACCACTAGAGTATAAACCTTATTTAAAAATTAGTTTCTAAATGAAAATTAAGGTAACTTGCTTCAAAAGTTCTTTTACATAAAGTCAAAGTAAAGTAAAAGTCATACCAAATGAATCCAAAGTCTTGTTGTCATAGTAGGAGATTGAAATTGTCAACTTTCAAGTTTAACAATGAGCAAATTCTACTTGTACATAATTATTGCACATGATGGTTTTCATAATGTGATGTGGCAATCATTCGATTGTTGATGTGCAAGTGTGAGATTTGAATTAAAGATTGAATTAAATACCACGTATAATTATGGACTATATTAAGTAGACAATTATGTATATGTAGCACTTCCTTTAACAATAATCTCAAATTTTAACCCTTCCAAAACTTGAGCTTGGACAGCTTGCTAAAGATTGACCTTTAGGTTTCTCTTAGTTAAACCTTGATATTTGATATAATTTTTTGTTGGAATAGCAAGTGCACTTGCAGTAAAGATAAGTACATATTCAAACTTGGTGTTTTTAAATTCATACTAAACCCAAGCCTTAATATGTTATCGTTCATTGAATTTTGTTTTACTTAAATTAGTGTATCTTAAATTTAAAATGAGTAGATACTAATTTTGTCAAATAGATTAGAGCATTTCTATTTCAATTTTAAGTTTGGGTCCATTTAAAAAATATTGGGTCAGTTTACAACCATATCAATTTGAAAGGCAAGGTGGGAATTCCTTTTAATAGTTTAATTAATTATTAATTTTCAAATATATTATCTAAGTTTTTTTTAGACATTTATGTAAAAATTATCTAATTCACTTTTAAATAATAAATCATGTACTTTAAAAGTACTCTTTATTTCTTTGATTATTCTATTTGTACATTCAGGTGTACACGTTGGGTGACATAATGTCTAGGTGATTCTGTTATTGATTAGTGGAAAAAAAATTGTCGACTAGTCAATGACAATTTTTTTAAACTAGTCAATGATAGAATGTCACTTGTTCATAATATCACTTGGCGTGTACACCTAAGTGTATATGTAACAAAGCTCTTATTTCTTGACGGATGTTGATGGCCCTGCCTTGTCGAAGATTTTCAAGCCCTGCAAAGTTAAAATATTTTTATTTTTTGTCATGTTTCCCATATACTTATATTTATTCTTTTACTTTTTAAATATAATTAAAACTTAAAACATGATGGCAAAAGTATTAGTGATTTATCAAAAATAAATAAATAAATAAATAAAAATTAAAAATAAAAATAAAATTTGAAGTTATGGTTTTGTCTTTTGATTGTAGGATGCTTGGCTATTTTGGAGGGCTTTATTTTGCTCACACTAATGCTCTTAAAGTAATGTTATTAACATTGGTCTATGTGATACTAAGTGTTATTAAATGAATTGTACAATTAAATAAATCACATAATGTCACATAAAATGATGCTCTAGTATCAAGTGTACTATATTTCTGTGGAGTCTAATTGCTATAATTCGGTTTGAGCAATAACCAACTCGTCTTTTCGCAAGCAAGGAGCTATCTTATTCAGAATTTTATATTTGAGAAGATTTTTTTTCATAACTTATGACATGCTTATTTTTGCTAAAAAATTAGTTTTTAAGAAAATTTTGAGAAAAGTTAATAAAATATATGATTAAAAAGTAGATAAAAATTTATGGTTAAAAATGAATATGAAGAAAAAAATTAAAAATGGGGCAAAATAGGGACTTAATTGATTCCTTTGTGAGGCGAGAAGTAAACTGCGTTGTTTGTACCTTGGAAAAAAATTGTAGTTTCATGCTCTTAGCTTATGTTTTGGACTAGGGAGCATCTTAATTACATCGATGACCTTTTGACTTGATATAAATGAAGAGAGTAAATAGGTAAAAGTACAGTACATAGTAAAATAAAAAATAAGATTCGATTGAGTTACCGTGGGCCATATTCTCCAATTTTACTCGAACGGGAAGGGATGGGACGGGACAGAATGGGACCGGGGTGAGACATTGCAGGCTGGGACGAGACATGCATAACAGGACTGAACAAGACATGACAGGATAGGACGGGACCAGGTGAGGCACTCTTTAAACTTGGAAAAGCATGCACTCGACCAAGACCTCCGCTATTTCCACAAAGGACTCCTTGAGAGTCCAGAAGCTCTTTTCATTTCCATTTTCGGTTTCAAGTCATTTTACCATTTATTCATTACTCTTTGCATGAATCATGAATCATGATCGTATTCGTACTAGGGTTTTGGAATTTACAGTGTTCATAATTCCATTCTTCAATTTCACTGTGGAGCATGCAAATCTAAACTCTTGCTATTGCAAGTTTGATTTTATTAGATTGTCAAACTACTAAAAGTTTTGATTATTGGAGAGTCATGCCCAAGTTTCATATTTGGGATTGTTGATTGATATTTTTGCTGATTTTAGGCTTTAATCCCAACTGGGCATTCTCCATATTTCAACTAAATCCTAAGCTCATCTGGGCCGTTTGAATTTTGAACATCTAGGAAAAAAAGAAGCAATCTCTCAAAATTTTATTGATTTTTCAAAACCCTAAAATTTGTTGTAATGGAAAGTGTTCATGCAAAATAATACTCGAATTGTTCACGGTGTCAACAATCCATCTAATAAACTATTTTTTATTCAAACAAATGCTACGTTTGGGTATTTCAAAAAGCCTAGATTTTTTGAAGCAACGAGAAATTTTGGGTTTCCGTAACAATCAACAGGTTAAACCCTTCAAATCAGATGTGTGCATGCTATTTCAAAAGGGAAAATGCTATTATGGTGGTAATTGTCATTATGCCTATGGCATAAATGACATTAGGAATCCAAGTTTGAGAGGGCTTGAAAATGGGGATTGATGCTACCAAAAATAGTACTTGTCGATTTTTCGAGGATGAGCACTAAGAAAAGCACGAATAGAGCCTTCCAATCCCTGAAACAAAAGCAACGATGTGTGTTCTTATCGCCCCTTTGATACTTAAGTCAGACAGAGAATTTATATGGAGAATGTATAATAAAATTGTATGTAAAGCATACCTGAATAATGATCCAAACCTTTGTACTTATAGAGGTAGGTAGTGCACTCTTGGTAGAGGTAAATAATGCACTCCCGATAGGACTCAATTAGTTGGATATCCTTATCTCAAATAATCCTACCTAGGAGGGGTATTTGATTCGTACCACAATTACAAGACCAATCATGATTTAGGTAATATAGTTGAGACAGAGCCCTCTAGATGTAGGAGTCTTAGGTTGAGGTGTTTGAGTCAGATTAGAGTCCTTAATGAGTAGGACTTCTTTTGGGCACAAATAGGAAGGTGTCTGAAACTAAGTGAAGGAAAGTACTCGAGCATTTGCATGCCTCGAGTGTCAAGAGGACCTTCCTGAGGACTAATCTTTAGGACCTTGCCAATCAAATCTCGTGGAGCATGGTACTAGTGCTCGGGGATTTCATCCCGAGTACATCCTTAGCCCGAGGACTCTATGACCAACATGTGAAGAGCAGGCACATGTGAGTCCTCGAGGAAGAACACTTCGAGGATATGCAAAAAGTGATCACATCACTGGCCCCCGTGCATCCATGTCAGAGGCTTGCACGACATACAAGTTTCTGGGATAAGATGTACAAGTATGTAGGGTTCAAAAATAGGCATACGCATGACAAGGTTAGGCATGCTTATGCCAAGAAATAGGCAAGCTCATACCTAGAAGTTGGCATGCTGATGCTAAGGATTAGGCATGGCCATACCTAGAGGGAGGTGAGCTCATGCTAAGATTTGGTCATGCTCATGCCTAGAATTTGGCGCGCCGATGCTAAGGATTAGGCATGATCATACCGAGAAGTAGGCAAGAGAAGTAAGCACGCTAAGGTATAGGCGTGCTCATGCCTAGAGATAGACGTGCTCATGCCTAGAAGTTAGCGGGCTCATGCCAAGGCATAGACGTTCACAAGCCTAGAGGTTGGCGAACTTATGCCAAGATTTGGTCATACTCATACCTAGAAGTTGGTATGCTAATGCTAAGGATTAGGCATGATCATGCCCAGAGGTAGGCGAGCTCGTGTCAAGGTATAGAAGTACTTGTGCCGAGAGGTTGGCGAGCTCATGCCAAGAATTGGTCGTGCTCACATCTAAAAGTTGGCATGCTCATGCTAAGGAGTAGGCATGTGATTGGCGCCCAATCACATACACATATTCTAGAATGGAAAGGAAACCTAGTAGGCTAGTGACGGGAAGCAATGGAGTTGAATAACAAATTCTAGTAAAAAGGGGTAGCCAAACAGAATTCAGTTATTAGGTGCCTATATAAAGGCGTGAGGGGGAGAAGGGTGAAAGCAAAATGAAGTCTAGAATGAAGTAGCTTTATTTTCTTTACTATCATTATTACATTTCCTTGTAATTGAGTAATTAGATTTTTCTCTTCAATAAAATTCCAGTACTCAATTGCGTGTTATTCCATAGCAGCTCTTAAATTGTCCTCTTAGAGTCTTATCAAGTGCTATCGAAACAAGAAGCATTGATGGCATAGACGAAAAATGATAGCAGAGTGGAGGTGGTAGAAAAAGAGATAGAGCAGCTAAACTAACGTCTGCCAAGTCTCGAGCATTCCGTGGAACAGTTAACCCAGAATATGGCCAGAATGATGCAAACGTTGGAGGCAACCCAGAAGGCAGTAGTAGCTCTTTCTCTTCCCAAAGCGTTACCCAACCAAAATTAGACAGGAGAGGGGTCGAGAAGTATACTGGAAGGATAAAAC